CTTTAAAATACCTTGTAAATTTTTCCCGGCCAAAAATTTTGCCAAAAAAATTGCGGAATCACTTTTCCCGCAAAAAAAAATTTTTGGCGGGAAAACTTTTTACGGGAAAATTTTACAGGGTATTTTAAAGGTTTTTTACAAGTGTTTTGGCGGGAAAATTGCGGGATCACTTTTCCCGCCAAAAAATATTTTGTATTTTGTGGACCTAATTTTGTTTCAAATAAGGGTAAAATGGTCATTAAAAATTAAAAGAAGGCAAACTTAAAAATGGACTCTCAAATGGGGCATTTTTGAAAAGGGGTATTGAAAAAGGGGCATTTTTAACAATTTCTCTATATATATTTACAAATATCATAAAATGATTCTCAAAATAACACTTTTTATATTCCATCTTCCAAAATTACCATCAAAATCCTAAAATTAAAAAAGTTTCTCAAGTTTTAGGTTTAGCAAGTCATAAACCTAGTATATGTCGTATTTTAAATATTATAACCAATAGCATCAAATTTTAGAAGAATTTTTAAACATTCATAATTAGTTAACAAAAGATTTGTGATCAATGCAATATATTAAAGTTTTTAATGGAATTCATACATAGTTTTAGTTGATGAAATATTCTTAGCTTTTGGTTGAATTTTGGACCTAGGTAGAATTGCTGAAATCTGATCAAAAATATATAATCCTTGTGTTTTTAATATTTGATGTTTGCTTACAGATTAAAAAATTATTTAATTTTTGTTTATTTCTAAACTAAAATATTATTTATTATGTATGTAAACATGATTCAACCAATTATAAAACAATCTTTAGAATATAAATCGTCAAAAAGTAACAGTTTTCATTGAAAGTTGAAAACAGGGTCACAAATATTTTTTCCTAAAACATATAATATAAAAAGCAGAGGAAGTATCATTTTGATAACTCGTTCACAAATGATTACAGTTGAGCAGCTACCTTACGTACCCATTTTCTGAACCAAGTATGCTATAATAAATCCGTCGTCTATCTTAATCGACAGAGCCAGGTGGGTTGGGCCGAACCTTTATTAAATTATTTAATTTTCATGTCAGTCTTTTTATCATTTAGTGAAGGGACTAGAAAAATAAAGTATCGTAAATAGTGGGGTTAAATCGAAGAGTACTGTGATTGAAACTAAAAGAAAAATGAAATTCCCTTGTTTCTCTCTAAATAGGAAATGGCTAACTAAAGATAAATTACTAACAAAAAATGACATTCCCAGATTTTCTCTAAATGGGAAAAGTCTAACTAAAGAAAACTTCCTAAACCATCATTTCTTATTAGGACCTTCATTGTTTATTTTAATGATTGTGTTTGGGTTCATTATTCAGATTCTGTTTGTAAATATACATAATTATCGCTTTATCTTTTAAATCGTTCATTTCAAGCTATCCCGTGTGGTTTTATCAACATGTTTGATTGAATATTCGAGGAGACGGTTCACAACCACTCCCCTCCTATGCTTCCAATCATAAATATCACTATGTATTAAAAAGTTATATTATATATCTCCAACTCTAGACGGCTCATAGCAATCTAGAAAAGCAACTAAAGATCATTCACATAAAATTAACAAAAAAGGCCAGTAGTAGTACAAAGGAGTATAAGTTTTGTCCACTAGAATAAGTTGGGTGGGAAGGGCACTGGTAGGACAACTATAGACAATAGGATTGAGCCATTCCATTAACTACATTATTAATATGTTAATCTATTTTGATAATTAACATTTTGTAGGTAGATTATGTACATAATTACACCTAATTAATTAATCTTTATCAAAGCAACTTTAACTACCTAATTACTCTGTTTCAAATCAAGAGACAAACCATATATCATGTCAATATGTCATACTAGATTTTTAGATTATTTTGAATGCAAATGAATGGAGCTAATGTCCAGAGTGTTGGATTGTTAATTCAATAGTCTCTGTAGAGGCATTTTCAATTGTCAACCGACATCGATGTTTTTAGAAAATTGGGTGAATATATCGTTAGTTTATCTTGTCAGTCTCAGAAACCTATGATTATCTGATTCGTGAGATAGTATCTATTCGTCGTAAAAGAATCTATATCCATTGTGTTGGTCTCCGTTTGGTCTCTTTGGTTTATTATTCTCAAAAAGTATTCATGTATTTGCGATCTCCTGCAAGCATGATTATGGCTTTATATCCAACTTTTTTTTTTTAATACTCGGTTTCAATCTAATCCGTCTTCGAACTATATATTTGGCTACGGTTGTCTTTAGCTTTATTTTCTTATGGAAATTATGTTTTTCATTAGTTTTGTTTATGGAATATGTATGATTAACTGCCGCTTATATTTTTCATCGAAAATTTTAATAAAACTAAAAAATTGTACAGAGCTTTTCAAATCTTTTGTATTATACATAAAATATAACAAAGAGAAACATGAATTGAATTTACATAACAAACAAAAAATAAGAAAATGTATATTTCTATATAACCCAAATATATTAAAATTAAATATATTCAAGTTGGATTACGCTAGGACATTATAAAATCAACTCCAACATGGTTGATGTTGATCGGAAACATTCAATGGCAACCATGCTGCAGTCGATCTTATAATCTCAAAACATTCAGATAGTAATTTGATTTCAATATGATTTTGCACGGACTAGCAAAACTGGGCCTTACTTTTTAACTCAGTGTGGCCTAACATTATAATTGTTGGATCGGACGAGCCTTTTACTAAATCGGTACATGTAAAATCCCTATCCAAATTTTTTGGAATAATTTATATCTTTGTTTTATTTCAAAAACATTTCACATTTTAGATTGTTTACTGTATTTGGGCAACATATTTTACATTACAAAACAGTTTACAATAAACTCAGGTTTAGTTTTTTGCAATGCAAAAATGTGGAAACTATATTTTATATTTTGAGTAAGTAACTCATTCTTACAATATTAAAATAGTTCTCTCTCTTTATCTCTCGTGCACTCCACCACTATCGATAAAACTACTTGGTCGGTTGCTTCGAAATTTCCCGTGACTTGTGAATTTCCCTTTTCCCATTATTATTACAACAACAACCCCACTTTCGTTATACAAAATAATACACTTTTCACCAAGAATCAAGATTCTATATTTTCAAAAAAAATTATGTTACATTATTCCGTTATATTTATATGATATAGTTCCATTCTGTTTGTTGTGTACGTTTATATGCACATATAGACCATATAACAAGAGGAAGAAAAAAAAAACAAGAGGAAGTGTAATACAAACAAAATGATGAAAATTACTTGAAGAAACGTAAACTCTTTTAAAAAGTTGTTGAAAATGTCAAGCCGTGCACTAGACAATATGTAAAAGGTAAAGATGAAGCATGTTGATATTTCCGTTAGCTGTACTTTTATCAAAATAGAAAACACTATTATACTTATTCTTGCATATGAGTCTATGACGAAAGATAAGATAACTACAAACAAAATAGAAATAAAAATAAATTATAAGTGGGAGAAGATATATCATGGGTAATGGGTTCATGCTATTGCTGAGGCTAGCTCACGGATAATGGGCAGAGTAATCGTGGCGTGCAAGCCGACATAAAAAGCACACATCATTAGTTTGTATCACATACGGTCCCTTTTCAGACAATAATACTTAATCCCACTTCGAAAATTGTAGTTTCTCATTTATCAGCTTAATCCATCTCAATTCTCTTTGATTAAATGTTTTATTAGGTATAAGGCATGAGGTGTATATGAACTCGAAGAGCTGACATAATTAAACGATCACACTTGACTGATTCTGTATTATTGTCAATTGGTGGGGAGATATACGCTTGTGGTTCATATGAGATAAAATGATTAAAGGTACATTCCATAGGTAGAAGCACTAGCCAAGTCTCATTACCAATTGACAATTTTTATTTTTTACTTGCTGATAAATGACACATCAACATACTTTTTTTTGTCAGTATATTTGTTTTTACTTTTGAATCATAATATAACTTGAGAAGATTTTTATTATCCATATATAAAATTTCTTGTTTTGAAATCATAATATATTTATTATTAATTTATTATTCTTAGATAGCTTGTTACATTTTTAATTTATCCAATCATACACTTTATGCAAATTAACCGGATTTTTAATAAACCGGCTACCTTCTTTTTTTTAATAGATCACATCTTCTCTTGCTCTCCAATCCCATAAGCCTCCATGATCCTCCATACTAAAAAGTTTGAATGCTGTAAAGTTCTGATAGTACTTATAGTTAGGACCTTGTTTCAGTGTACACATAAAACGTGTGGTACCCCAAAAGTTAGTGCCAAACTAATCTAAATAATGCCCTCCGATTGGTATTATATTTGGATCTAATACATCATCTTTGGAATAACACCTCATCCAGAGAAGTTTTTGAATTTGAGTTCGTTCGCGATCCTAATTCCGGCTCCCGATACATGGCCAAGCATGCAAAGGCTAAAAACAAATAGAAAGACGGAGAGGTTTTTCATTTATTTTTTACTTTTTGGTAGTGTTTAGATCTTTGGCTTTGTTAACTTGGTTTTTATGTTTCTGTGTATTATATATACACACACATTTGTATTACTATTAATTGCACAAGATTTCTTTCGATATTAGTTTCCAAGTTTCAACATATATGACATAAAATATTACATAGTTACATAATCATATTGTGGATAATCAATTGATAATACTGCCAGATCAAACGTAATCAAATGATAATTGTATCTTCTTATATTTGGAAACAAAAATCTTAACATATATAATACGATACTGATGTGTTTGTAATATTTTTGCATTTATACTATAGTAATAATGTAATATAGATATTTTATTAATATTTCAACCACATCAATATAGATCAAACGTAATCAATTATTATTAATAAAAATAAAGGAAATATGTACAAATGTTAAGTGGAACTAGGCAAAGCTAGAGAAACAGAGCAACCAACGAAACAGAGCCTCTAACAACTATTGGATCACATTATAGTTTCTCAATTCCCATAACATTATTTTTAGGCCTGGGAATCTGAACCGAACCGAACCGAACCGAGGTTTGGGCAAATCGGTTCGGTTAATGTTAATTGATCATAACCGATCGGTGGGATTTCAAAATCATTTCGGTTAACCGAGATTTCCGGTTCGGTTCGAGAGAACCGAACGGTTAACCGAAAGAATTAAAACCCTAACATAACCTCATATTCCAGCCGCCTACTCTTCTTCTACTTCGATTATAACTCTTCTTTCATTCATTCTTCTTATTTTTCGACTCATCTTCTTCTTATTCTTCACCTTCTTTGGTCGATCTCATCTTTTTTTTGGGTCGAATCTCTTCTTCTTCTACTTTTCCTTCTCCTTCTCCTTCTCTTTCTCCATCTTTATTGAAGCAAGATAAGCCAAAACACATCAATTAAAGACTTCCTGGAGCCAGCACCACTGAAAGAATCAAGCAGCGTTGAAGATCTGAAGCTATTTTTCCGGATTTGAATTCACTACCGTCGAGCCGCCGTCGAAGAGAGAATTAGGTTTGAAGAAGGATAGTCATGAAACACATTGTTTCAACTTTGTCACGTTATTTTCTTATTTTCTGGGCTTGGCCCAAATATTTTTTTTTTTAGCAAAAGGCCCAACTATTTAGGTGCAAAAATAAACATTTGGGCCAAATTTTTATTTAAAATCATAACCGAAATAACCGAACGGAATAACCGAAATAAACCCGTTCCGAACCGAAATATTAGTCGGTTAGTTTCGGTAGAGATTTCAATTTCCGAAATACCCGAAAAACCGGAAAACCGAACCCGAATTAACCGATCGGGTCGGATTCGCAGGCCTAATTATTTTTCTACAATTTACATTATTTACTGTCATGAGTACTTTGTGTGTACGTAGGGGCGGACCCAGCTAAGCTAAAAAATTAAGTGGATGCAAAATGATGTAAAATGAGTTGGTTCCCTCGCGTTTGTTTTGTTAGAGCCATTTAGATTGATTAGGTTAAATTTAGTCCTTTTAGGTTTAGTTTGTTGTTCTTTTTGACTTTAGAGCTTTGACAGGTTTTTGATAGGTAGCTTGGAGAGGTTAGTTAAAGATTTTGACTACGAATTCTCTAGTTAGAGATGAAAAGTCTCAACTACCAATAACTAATTATATCATTAAACATTATTCTCATAGATCCATGTGCATGTATATACGTAATAAGATATAATTTGAGTAAACGCATAACCATTGTAAACTTGATATTTTTGTTGATATATCTAGGGGCTGTATAGCCATGTGATATATATACACTTCTACACAAAGTTACATTATTTAGTTGAGAAATGTAGCCATGTGATATATATAGACTAGTTTATGTAGCAAACATTTTCTTTATTTGATGACATTCTCACATAATCTAATAGTTGGCGGAGGATAACAAAATCTTCAACGCAATTGCTCAAATTGGGGAAGTCTCATCCTACAATGCTGGTTTCAAAGTCAAAGAAGTTAGTGGTTGCATTTCCAATTTTTTGTTGCTCAATCAATTGAAACTTTACCCAGAGTATTTCCTTGTAAGGCATAGCTGTACTTAAGTTTATTTTTTTTAAAAGGTACAGTATTTAAGTTTATTTTAATAAAATCAAATCCCTTAGAAAACACAAATTATTGATAAAAGGTTATTTGTTTTTAAATGATCGAAAATAATTCAGTCTTTTCGTAACTTACAAATATTATACTACTTACACTCAAATTCCGCCATGAGTGAATAACATTCTCTAATTCCAAAATATATACACCGTATCCTATATATAAAAACAAAATTAATGCTACAAAAATTCGAACTATTTATGTTGGTCCCTTATATAAATAAACTCCTCCTTTCATACCAAAAAAAAATCCATTTTCATTTCTCCTCTAGAAAAAACCGCCATGCCAACCTCTCTCTCCACCGCCGGTTACCTTCTTTTCCTTCTCCTTATCAGCTACGACGGTGGCTTCATTGGAGCCGCCGATGCCGAACATGACCTAAGAGCCACTGATCTCCATAATCATCGCCATCGTCGTCACCGTAGCCACCGTCGCGGAGAAGAGTTCGAGTACTCAGCAATATCGTGTAGAGCTTACTCAGCCTCGTTAGACGAGTTTGGTGCCGTAGGAGACGGTGTGACCTCAAATACGGCGGCGTTTCGCGATGCAGTCTCACAACTTAGCCGTTTTGCAGACTACGGTGGCTCATTGTTATTTGTTCCCGCCGGACGGTGGCTCACCGGAAGCTTTAACCTCACCAGCCATTTCACGCTTTTCCTCCACCGTGATGCTGTTATCCTCGCCTCACAAGTAAGTTTTTTTTTCTCCATTAGAATTTATTTTCATTTACAAGAATTAAAAAAATTAATTAGTAACACCCGTGACACAAAACTCCACAAACGTCTTTGATGATTTTTTTTTTTCTGTTGCAAATATTTTTGTTGCATATCATACATACATAATAACGTGACATTTGTTGGCCAACTTCTGATGATATATTGGTTGGGCCATTCAGTTTATGTTTATATTCGGTAAATAAATTTTTATAATATAAACTATAAAGTATCACTACTTAAAAATTGTGAGATTTAAAAAGCTCGAGGGTCTTTGAAAAAATAAAACAATTATGTGTTCTACTTTTTTTTTTTTGACATCTTTGGATCGACAAGGCCCGATCCATAGCCAATCCCTACTACGCGGGGTAACGCGATTTAGTGGAGTCGAACTCCGGTGGGGAAGGCGGAGTCAACCACTTGAGTAAAAGCACATCCCCCAATTCTGTGTTCTACTTAAAAGCTAGATATTTTATATTTATCAGAATGCGTTACTCTAAGGAAGGAGGTGGTTACGCAAAGACAAAAAATAGGCAAAGTTAGTGGGGATCGATATTGGCCGGTTACAAGAGAGTGCGACCAATAGTTGTTAGGAAGATCTCATCCGTCCATTTCTCTTCCAAATCTGAGCCACATGTTACTTTCGGGCCTTAGCCTAAAGTAGGTTTTTTTTTCCTTGGCCCAAAGTTAAACCCAAATATTAGACCCTTGTCAAAGTTTCCCTTGTAAAGGCTTCTCAAGTTCTTGTCCTTGTTTTCCTAGTATTGGTAAAGATACAAAGTTTGACTTGTAAGCTAATTATGAAAATTCTTGGTCCTAACGTTATTGATAGGAAGAGAGTGACTATGAAGTGATAGAACCACTACCTTCGTACGGAAGAGGGAGAGACACTGATGGTGGAAGGTTCATCAGTCTACTTTTCGGTTCAAACTTAACCGACGTGGTTATCACTGGTTAGTAGTTCAATTTGTATCGAATTAACCAAAAATATCCAAAAATTTACACCGAAGGGATAACTTATTTCAATTCGAAATTGCGATTCTTGAATTCAAAAGGTGAGAATGGGACAATTGATGGACAAGGAGAGCCATGGTGGGGAAAATTCAAGAGAGGAGAACTAAAATACACAAGACCTTATTTGATTGAGATTATGCATTCTGATGGTATCCAAATCTCCAATCTCACTTTCTTGAATTCTCCTTCTTGGCATATTCACCCGGTCTACAGCAGGTAAACAAAAAACTATTACCCGGTTTAACCATTCGTTTATCAAATTTTAACCTATCAAACCGGTTTTGTTTATTAATTATTTTAAAATGCAGAAATATATTTATCCAAAGTTTGACAATATTAGCACCGGTCACGGTACCAAACACCGACGGGATCAACCCAGGTACCAACTCATACCGATAAATATGGAAATGCCAATAACCGGTTTTTAAACTCTGGTTGAAATTAGTTCCGGTTTATATCAGATTCGTGTACCAACACGAGGATCGAGGACTGCTACATTGTCTCCGGCGACGATTGTATCGCCGTTAAAAGTGGATGGGATCAGTACGGAATCAACTACGGCATGCCAACAAAACAGCTCTTGATCCGACGGCTCACATGCATTTCTCCTGACAGTGCCGTGATCGCTCTCGGCAGTGAAATGTCCGGTGGAATTGAAGATGTTAGGGCTGAAGATATCGTCGCCATTAACTCTGAATCTGGAATTAGGTATGTAACAACCCGGTTCACACAAATTAACCGGTCTAAATTCGATTTGGTTAACCGGATACCGACAAATCTGCAGGATTAAAACAGCTATTGGACGAGGAGGATACGTGAAAGATGTATATGTAAGAGGAATGACAATGAATACGATGAAATATGTGTTTTGGATGACCGGAAGTTACGGTTCTCATCCTGACGAGCATTATGATCCGAAAGCGTTACCGGTGATTCAGAACATCAATTATCAAGACATGGTCGCGGAGAACGTGACGATGCCTGCTCAGTTGGCTGGAATATCAGGAGATCAGTTTACTGGAATCTGTATCTCTAACGTGACGATCACTCTTTCGAAGAAACCTAAGAAAGTGCTTTGGAATTGTACTGATGTTTCGGGTTATACTAGTGGTGTGACTCCGCAGCCGTGTCAGCTGTTGCCGGAGAAGCAGCCGGGGACGGTTGTGCCGTGTAATTTCCCGGAAGATCCGATTCCTATTGATGAAGTGAAGCTTCAACGTTGCTACTCCAGAAGAAGGAATATGTGAACATGTAAAAGATCTTTTTTTTTTTTAACAAATACTTTTCTTGGGTTATAAGTAAACGTGTTATCAAATGGGACAGATTTGATTGAATAATAGACAAGCTTCAAGGGAAAAAGACAAAAAAATAATCGTCAAACACATATATTTTACATATCCGTGTATATATTATTTGATTATTTGAGGGGAAACAAAACAGAGGCTTAACTTGATAACCAAGGAACCAAAGAACAAGTGCTTTTTGAGTGTCATGTCTGAAGCTGATTCCATCTCAAAGTATGTGTTTCTGCAACATTTGTATCAACTTATTTAATGTGATAGGCATATCAGACCATGTTCAGATTGCGGTTGTAATCACGTTTACCTTTATGTGGTTGAGGCAAAAACAGAGCACATGCAGAGACAATCAGTACCTTGATGAACTAGTCAAGTTCATCTTTTTGTCTATTGAGGTCAATCCGAAGACTAACATGGAGTGACTGAAAGATTGGAGAAGCAGCTACAATGCTACAACTAGTAGAACTCACTGAAGAGTTGCGGTCATCGTCATCATAAGATATAGTCTAAAGACCAGTTGAGACTAGATTCTCTTTAGGCACTTCTCGAACACAAATGTTGTTATGATTATAGTTCAAAGACATTTGAAGCTTCTGTTGTCTTTGGATGTTACCAATGGTTTTGTTAAAATCCAAAGACAACAATCAACAAGTATAAAACCTGCAGCTAAGGAAGAAGAAGAGTCAAATCTTGATTTGACCTGTCTTAAGCAACTAATCTAACACAAATACTCAAACCAAAAACATGAATCATTTTGTCTATATACATTTGGAACTCCAAATACCAAACTTTTAATTTTATTATTATTTTATCTTCTTTGAAAATAAGAAAAAACGAATTTATTGTTATTATAGATTTGGGCCTTGGGCTTTGTGTCAGACCCAAAAGCCGGAAACATGGATCATCGAGGTTTCGTTTTGTATCCCATTTTCTTGATCATATTATTTATGGATGAATTATCTAGATCTTTGGACAGGAAAACGGAAAAGACCATTATCCCCCCCCCAAAAGAAAAGAAATAATCCTTTGTCTATAGATAAAGGATACGTCCTCTTTTAACCCTAAATTCTGAAATCACTAGATCTGAAAAATTGCCTCTCTTCTCAACCTCTCTCCATGGATCACTGGGACCTGTACTCTGCCGTGAAATTCCCCGATATTTGTGACACGGACATAAAAACCCCCGTATTCTCGGTAATCATCCTCTCCATAAAAATTTTATGCGTTTCTTTCGAAATTTATAATGTATTCATGTAAAGATACGTTAATAATATTTGTTTCATGTAGTTGGGTTATTGTCGTTGCGGGATACGACCCATCGGCCATCGCTTCCTGCGGATGAAATCAAGAAGGCGTTAACCGATCATTTCCGTTCGTGTGGAGCCAGGGCCGGTCCATGGGTAAAGCCCATGAAGCAAGGGCTTTAGGCATCAAATAATTATAAGTAGTTTTAGGGGCATCAATTTTTAAAATGTTACTGTAGTCTAGTGGTTAGATTGAAGTCTTTTGTTGTACCGGTCACGGTTTCGAATCTCATACATGTTAAAACTTGTATTTTTTTTTTATAACAGCTTTTGTTAATGGGCCAAATTTTTTTTTGCTTTAGGCACTCAAATAGTTTGGGCCGGCCCTGTGTAGAGCAATCCTTAACGTTGAAATGCCCGGACACCCCGTGGAAAGGTTCGTTTGTTAGCTTCTTTCTTTTGCGACAGACAACGTTATAGGCTGAAATACACACTGATCTAGTGTTTCTCAACGTTGTCTGTTATTAACTTATTATAAACAGTTCTGTTATTGTCGTGGGAGATGACGCAAATGAGAAGGCGTTGGAACTTAATGGAAGTGAAATGGGTGGACGGAAACTTGTTGTTACTGCTAGGCCTTTTCCTATGCTGGTAAGAAAGGATGTTCCTTTTGCTTAAAAAGATGACGGAGGAGTAGAAGAAAGCTCGCGACGCGAAGTGGTGTTTTCAGATCGTGATACAATGCAACCTTAACCTTTTACAAAAAAAATTTAAACTCATTTGACGGAAGAACAGAGAGTAGTTGAGAACTTTAACACCACGAGGTCCATGACTTTAATTTGGTGGTTTATAAGTAAACTTGTTATGAAATGGGATAGATTTTATTGAATAACCGATAAAGCTTCAATGGAAAAAGAGAAGAAAGTAATCGTCAGATACATATTTATATATATCAATATATATATTTTACATATCCGTCCATATTAGGGATAACAAAATATAAGCTTAACTTGATACCCAAGTAAGCAAAGAAGAAGTGTTTTATGAGGTCCTGTCTTCAACTTAATCCATCTCAAAACATGTGTGTTCTGCCAAAATTGTGTCATCTATCAATTTCTTGATTGGAGTCTGATGCTTAGACCAGAGAAGGCTCTTCAATTCTGATGACACCTGAAGGACTGAAAGCAAACTCCTGCAGAGTATTAATAGCAAACGATTGTCATGAGAAGCCACAGAAGTTGCTTGAGATGGAGAAAAGAAAATTAAGTTTTGGGGGGGAAACCTTTTCAAGGAATTTGAATGAGCCAGAACTTTGAAATCGAACCAGATTTTCAGTAGAACTAAAGTTGAGGAACACTAGATCAGTGTGCCCTTTCAGCCTCAGAGAAACGAGACCCTTCGGAATCTTTGTGAATCCTTCAAGGTCTGTAGTTTCAAGGTTTAGAGCTTGTAAGAAGGAAGTATGGGAGTAGAATAAGTCATCATCAAGGGAATCGACTACTGTTGTTGCTGCTTCTGTCTCCTGTCGATGCATTAGAGACGTCTCCCTAAATGCAAATAGTTTCTTGACATTGGTCACGACATCACTGACGAACACTTCATCATTGCTGCAAAAAGAAATCCCAATAGTGAAGAACTAATGTTGACATAGAAAGCCAACACACATATATGTATATATTTATAAACCTATGTTGATAGCTCAATCCCGGTCTTGAGGCAATTGACGAGAGAGCTTGTCTCCATCCCCAAATTCTAGCTTCAGTATTAAGGTATAGAATTATCATCTCTTCTCTTGACGTTTTTACGCACTGCATCTTCTATCTTGAGAAGCCTATTGCGGAACCATCCCTTCAATTTTTTAACTGATTCAGCCGTCAAGTTATAAAAAATTGGGAAGGTATCGATCTCTCCTGCGTCCATAAGCTTCTTGATCTCAACTAGCTCATCAAGACATTTCTTTGACGTAGGGTACATTTTTGAGAAGACCACTATAGTAACCCTTGACTCGCTAATCCTGCCCTTCATCTCATCCTCTACATACATTGAGATTTGGTTTGATTCTAATCCATTTTTCAGAAGGCTCACTAGGTATTTTCCGAGCTGTTTTTCACCAAAACTGATGACCACTCTTCGAGGAGGACAGGATATCATTGCACGACGCTTATGTATGTTACACAAGAGTAAAAAGCAGATCAAAGTAGCATTGGAGTTGTAATCTTCGCCAAGACGGTTACTAAGATTCTCATTACTCTCTGTAGTTTGAATCCTGTCTGCTACCACATCTGTCAAATTTAATCCAAGAGGGAATTAAGGATACATGCATGTCACAGAGTGATACGATTGCGTGATATGCAAGAAACTTACTAGTGACTTGAACTGACAAAGGGTCTTTTTGATCTTGGATTTCTTGAGCTGGGACAATAACTTCGTTACCAAGAAATTGTTGAGGTTTCTTGGGCAGCAAACGAAGCTTCAAATCAAAACCCTAGAAAGTGATTATACCAATTATTGACTAATTATAACAACTCAAAAAGAAAGAAAAAAAAATTGAGGGTTGAGAAACAAACCTCATTTCAGTATTCTAGAGAACCTAACAACACCAAGAGAATCTTTCCAGCTTGACCTGGCCTGCTTAATCGTGAAGCGAGGATATGATTCTGAAGAGAGATCAAGTCAAGAAACACCAAATCATCAGTGCCCAGGGAAACAACGACGTCGTTGAAATGTTCGGATGGCTTTGTGATAAGATCTTCAAGATCAGATATATTTAGGTTTAAAGCTTGTAATAACGACGTTACTTCTTCCTGAGGATGCATCGGAGGCCTCTCTATGATTGTAAGATAATTTCTTGGAGATGAATCGTCTAAGATTTTCTTGACCTCGACCGCAATTTCACTAACGAAATCTTTATCACTCTTATGATGACGAGGTGACCCCATTCTTTCGCAAACAGAGACTAAAGCTTGCCTCCATCCCCAAATCCTAGCCTCTGTTTCAAGTATCGATTTGGAGCTACTCCGATCAACCTTCTGGCGCACGTAATCCTCAGTCTTGAGGAGAGTATTAAGGAAGTAACCTCTCTGTGTCTTGACGCTGTCAGGTTCCACTTTGTAGAATATTGGAAACGGAACAAGAGATCCTGTGTCCATCTGCTTCTTGATCTCAACCAGCTCGTCTAAGCACCAGCATGACTCGGGGTACTTGTTTGAGAAGATGGCGAGTGCGATACTAGACTCTCTGATTCGTTGGAAGAGTATACTGATTGGCCTGCCTCTAATTTCATCCTCGTCAATGAAAACGTTCATATCACTGATCTCCTCTAATTTAGACTTTAGAAAGCTCACTATGTTGTCTCTTTGAGCTTTACCCCTGAAATTGATGAACACTTGAGGCTTCCGTGACCGAAGAGCTCAACATTTGGGTTATTGTTGAAAGATTAATTTTCAATAGTTCGAGACAGAGCTTGATTGCATAGAATATGAAGAAGGAGAACTTGATTGCATAGAATATGAAGAAGGAGAAGATGTTTCTTGGATGTTAAATATATTGAGGTCAACACACCAAAGTCTCTCTGTGTTTTATAATAATTATTTTTTCTTACCTAAATGTCCAGACGCGGTTAGGAGGAAGTCATGGGTCCATTAGTGCAAGGCTGGCCTTGAAATTTCAAACGCCTACGACAAAAAGAGAATGTAGGGAAATTGCATGCGTAATATTTGACTTATAATACATATTGTGCATGTGTAAAAGTCAAATAATACCCTACTTTTAGTACTTATAACACATCTGTTAAATAATAAATAATAAATAATGTCAATTAACAAATGATATTATAGGTTTCGAATGGAGACCGAACCGTACGGTGTGGTGCGGTCCAAATGGTAACGAAACTATCCATATATATATATATATATTTTGTTATTATTAGAGTAGTACGGCAGTTGAACCACGCGTCTCCATTCGGAGCCTATATAGCAGTGTAGTCCCTGCATTTATGCGATAATAATGAAGTTCAGAGACCAATGTGCTACTGTTTAACTATGAATGCTGAAATGTAAATAAGTTAAAGGATGAATTAATGCCACTCGCTGAATTTCTACGTTGCTATTTACAAACTATTAAATGCTTAATTTATCACTTGATCTGTATAATCTGTTAGAAGAAAGTTTGTTGGAGAGAAAATCAAGAAATTCTGTTATTCTCATTAATGAATGTTGTTCTGTTGTTTTATACAATGAGAACTAAGATCCCGTTTACTCTGGTTTATCAATACCAGATTACAATTACCAAATCATTTATGGTTTATCATAAACCAAACTCTAATATAATCTGATTTTCTATAAAGATTCTAATTTAAGTGGATAGAAAATCTACCCAGACAAAGTAAGTTTGTAATCTACAAGATATTGAACAAACCTTTGATATGCAATTTCAGTATATTGGCAGAAAGAAAATTTTCGATATACAGAAAATTGTTTAATAGAAGAATGTGTTGTAAAATGCTTCTAGATGTCTATTATGGAGTCTTTGGTCTTTTGGCATAATAACTGATCAAGTCTTTTTTCATCTTACAAATAATAACCGATCAAGTCTTTTTTCATCTTACATCTGTTTGTCAACCAATCCTTCTTTGTCTTATTCATTTTGGCTAAATGATATGGTTTATATTATACTAGATAAGGACCCGTCCGATGCCTCAAAAAATCATCACAAATAATAGATTTATTCGTTGTGCCTTGATTCTTGTACTTTGCAATCGATACTTTGATCAATAAAGAGACTATATTCGACTATTTTCTTGTTTTCCGTAGACTCTCACGAATCGATTACTTTTGCCAAAACAGACCATGAGCTGAAAAAAATAATTGGCCTTTATTTCCTATGTTTTTGTTGTAAAAAAATTTTTGGACACTAATTTTAATAAATTTAGTTGAAAAAAAAAATGGACCATGTGCATGAGCACCTCCCGCACATGCCTAGAGCCGGGCCTGGATACGACACTTCGCTTCCTGGGGATGATATCAAGGCGTTGACGGATCATTTCCGTTCATGTGGAGCAATCGCTAAAGTTGAAATCCCTGTGGACAGGTTTGTGTTTGTAGCTTTTTTTTTTTGCGACAACGACGTAACCACCTGGAACCAAACTTAAATTCTAGCTTTGTTTTTAACAGACCCGCTTCTGTTATTATCATCGGAGATGACGCAAATGACAAGGCGTTGGAACTTAATGGAAGTGAATTGGGTGGACGGAAACTTGTTGTTACTGCTAGGCCTTTTCATATGCTGGTAAGAAAGGATGTTCCTTTTGGCTCCACTGTCCCAGCTACACAAATTTCGGAGGAGTAGAAAATGTGTTATATATATATATATATGTAAAATAAATTTAAATGTGTTGTGTGTACACAAATCTCTGTTCTTCTTGGCTTATAAGTAAATGTGTTATCAAATGCGACCAATTTTATTGAATAACAAACAAAGGCGTTCAAGGGAAAAGAAAAACCAAAAATTCCTTAAATACACGTACATATTTATTGATTGTGTGAAAAAAACAAAACAGAAGTTTAACTTGATAACCAAGTAAGCACAGAAGAAGTGCTCTTTGAGCGTCCTGTCTCCAACTGAATCCATCTCAAAACATGTGTTTCTACCAAAATTGTATCATCTGTCAATTTCAGTTTAAGATGAAGTATGAGTAATTGTAATATATTAATTATTTAATGTAGTAGACATATCAGACCATTGTTGAGATTGATTGGACTCTAATGCCAAGGCCAGGGAAGGATCTCTAAATCTGATGACACCAGAAGGATTCAAAGCAAAACCCTGCAAGGGTAATAATACCTAATGATTTTCATGAGAAGCCACAAATTGCTTCAAATTTGAGAGAAGAAATTTAGGGTTTGGGAGAAAACCTCTGTAAAGAATTTGGATGAGTCAGAACGCTGAAATCGGACCAAATTTTCATGAGAACTCAGTTTGAGGAACACTAGATTAGTGTGTCCTTTAAGCCTCAGAAGTACAAGACCATGGGGGATATCTGTGAAGCTTTCAAAATCTGCATTGTCACGGTCTATAGCTTGTAAGAATGAAGTTCGGGAATAGAATAAGTCATCATCAAGGGATTTGACTACTGTTGTTTCTGCTTCTGTCTTCTTTCTCTCCCTAGAGGCAAATAGTTCATTGACCTTGGTCACAATATCACTAACGAACACGTCATCAGTGCTGCAAAAAGATATAGCCCAGTAGTGAGAAACTAATGTGGACATAGAAGCAACACACACACATGCATATATTTATATATACCTAAGTTCATAGCTCAGACCCGGTCTTGAGGCAATGGACGAGAGAGCATCTCTCCATCCCCAGATTTTAGCTTCAGTATCAAGTATAGACTTATCATCTCTCGTCTTGATGTTCTTACGCACTTCATTCTCTATCTTGAGAAGCCTATTAAGGAAACATCCCTTGAGCTTCTTAACTGGTTCAACCTTTAAGCTGTAAAAAACAGGCAAGGGATCGATTTTCCCTGCGTCCATAAGTTTCTTGATCTCAACGAGCTCATCAAGACACTTTTCTGACTTAGGGTACTTATTTGAGAAGACCACTACTGCAACCCCTGACTCCTTGATCCTGCTCTTCGTCTCATCCTCTGCATACACTAATATTTGGTTCGACTCCAATTCTTCTTTCAGAGAGTTCACTAGGAATTTTCCGAGATGCTTTTCTCCAAGACTGATGAACACTCTTCGAGCTGGAGGGTCGATTTTCATTTCACTACGGTTCAGTATGTTACATAAGAATGAAAAGCAGGTCAAAACAGCATCAGTGTAGCTAACTTCACGATTACGAAGATTGTCATTACTCTCTGCCACAGCTGTGTTACCAGGCAATTGTTGAGATTTCTTGGGCAGAAAGAGACGCTTGAAATCAAAACCCTACAGAGAAATAATAATACCAATTGACTTGCTATAACAATTCAGAGAAGAGACTTTGAGGGGTTGAGGAAACTTACATTATTGTAGTATTCTAGAGAACCTAACAACACCAAGAGAATCCTTCCAGCTTGAACTAGCTCGATTAATCGCTGAGCAAGGATAGGATTCTGAAGAGAGATCAGGTCAAGAAACACCAGACGATCAGTGCCCTGGGAAACGACGCCATTGGTATGAATAAGATCTTCAAGATCAGATTTCTTCAGGTTTAGAGCTTGCAACAAGGACGTCACTTCTTCCTGAGGCCTCTCTATGATTTTGAGACCATTTCTTGGAGTTGGAGATAAATCGGCTAACATTTTCTTGACCTGGACCACAATATCATTAACGAAATCGTTGTCACATTTATGATTATAAGAAAACCCCATTCTTCCGCCAACAGAGACTAAAGCTTGCCTCCAACCCCAAATCATATCCTCTGTTTCAAGAATTGACCTGATGTTTCTCCTATCAACCTTTTTGCGAACGTCATCCTCAGTCTTGAGGAGAACATTACGAAAGTGACCAGTCTGGTACTTGACAGACTCAGCTTTCACTTTGTAGAATATTGGAAAGGGAACAATAGATCCTGTGTCCATTTGCTTCTTGATCTCAACTAGCTCGTCTAAGCACCAGCGTGACTCAGGGTACTTGTCTGAGAAGATGATGAGTGCGATACTTGACTCTCTAATTCGTTCAAAGAGTGTTGTGATTGGCCTCCCTCTAATCTCGTACTCGTCCATGAAAACATTGATTTCGCTGATCTCTTCTAACTTTGACTTTATAAAGCTCACTAAGGTTTTTCTTTGAGCTTTACCCCTGAAACTAATGAACACTTGAGGCTTTCGCGACTGAGAAGAATTCGTCATTTGGGTTATGGTTGAAATTATGAATATTGAAGAGTTATAAAAAGCTTGATTGTGGAGGAAAATGAAGAAGGAGAAGAACCAGATGCATTGAAGTCAACACACCAAAGTCTCTTTTCATGTTTTCATAATTTTTTTTTATTGCCAAATGTCGAGACGCCGTTAGTTGCACATGTTTCCATTAATTAGTGTGAACTTTGATGTTAGATTTATACACATTTTTTATTTTTTTTTGGTAAACTAGATTTATACACTTGATCTGTATAACCTAAGAGCATGAATATCGGTTGAAATGTTGAGTATCTTAGACAAATCTTAGAATTAAAGTTGATTAAAAATAATCAAACCAACAAAATTAATCTAAGATGCATATTTTATTTAAGATGTTTTTCTTAAGTTAAGATATGGATACGTGTCACTGTGTGAATGGTTCAAAAAATAAACAAAAGGAGGAAAAAAAGTTTCCTAATGTTTTCTTTCTTCTCTCTTCGCAATTTCACATCTCTCTCTCTTTTATCGTGTTTGAGCAGTCGTTATCTTCACTCTTCGATGTCGTCTTACTCTCCCTCAAATTTTCGAAACTTCCACCGGAGAAATCTCTATCAATCGGCTTCCTCCGTCAAACTGTAGAGCTTCTTATTTTAAAATGTATACATATTATCTCCAACAAGGCAATAATTTAGATGCATCTGTATCTGAAAAATGTTGTCTCCATCTTGTGTCTTCAACTGCTACATTATATTAATCAAATTAGGTTCCATGCCTTAATTGATGTGCAATTTTTAATGTTTCATATATGTTTATTATGAAGTGAGTCTTTGGTCATAAACAAATAATATTGCAAAACCACCGAGTCTGTCTTTGTCTTACTTCTTTTTTGTCAACCAATCTTTCTTTGTCTTATTCATTTTTGGCCAGATAGTATGTTTTATGTTATACGGTAACGCTGTCCACAGATGCAAATCAAGGATCTGTTTGTTTGGTAACTAGGGAATTTAAGGCTTAATCTACTCCGACGCAGAGATTCGATTGTGCTAGCAAAGAGAGTGATTTATACATCAGATTTTTGTTGATGTTTCAACTTCTAAAATTGCGATGTCAAGAAGATATGACACAAAAAACACATGTTTGTGACAATTTTTGCGCAGCGAACTCTCTTTTTATCATTTTATCTTTCTTCGGCGTAAGACTAAATATACCTACAATCTTAATAATGCATTACACTTGCAGACAACAGTTATTGCTAAACATAGAGTTTGGTAGTGAAAAACAGAGACTTTGGTTCATTTGAGCAAGATTGGATCCTCTATCATATCTCAGTCCTTAGTTTCGTGTCTTTTAACCTCTACTCTAGCATTCTCCATTTGTGGCTTCTTCTGTTGAGTCTTCAAAGTAAAAGATATATGAATTCTTCTTTCTTGCTCTGCTAATGCTCTGTATACCCCAATTTTTTTTGCATCTGGACAGTTTTGATTTTATTGGTAGGCACTAGAAAGAAAAAAGAAACTCGCAATTGAATAATTAGGCATCGAATTATCCTTTATTAATTGATCTTTGTTCAACGTAAAACCAGAATGAGTACAATCTCAAGACGACAGAAGAAAGGCCTTTGCTTAAGAAACAAGTAACAATAAAACAGACACTCAGTTGCTTGCAACGGAAGGTTCATTTCCGCGATTCCTTTGGATCATCTTTTGCTCCGCATAATGTAAGACACAAACAAAGCCCCAAACAGTAATGCAGAGACGAAATGCAAGCTGTGCCACCTCTTTATTTTTTTCGGAACAATATTGGCGATGCTCAGTTGATTCTCCTTCTGCTTTGGAACCATGAGCGCTTCAACTGTGGATATAAAGTCAAGTTGTAAATAAATATTCAGACGACATATGCAGGTCTATGTCATGGTCTGAACTTACAAGGAAATGGGCCATATTGATCTCTCTGGTCAAGATCTGAGGCGGTGCGTCTAAGAGTAGGAGGCGAAGGCTTCGAATCGATACTCTGTCAGTCACACCATAAGCGTAGTTATCAGAAACTGATGAAGTTTATAGACCAAAAAAACAATTCGAAGACAGAGACCTTGTTGTCGTCTTCAGGATTATAGCTCAGTCTCAAAGCTTCCAAGCTCTTCGAACGATGGAGCTGGATGTTTATGTTTAATTGATTGACATTATAAATAATCTGGTTTGGTTGTCTTCCTAGTGATGTCTGCAATAAAGAGATTTAACCACCATGTCTGCTTTAAGGCAAAAACTAACTACTCATGTAAAGAACTACGAATACACCTCACTAGTTTCTAGAGTACTATAATTACGCCCTTCCTCTGCTGCAATATTGGCTAAATTTATATTGATCTTTTCAACGACTTTCTCCACGAAAGCCAGCTCAGGACTGCAAACAAACAGTTTAAATTAAAGATGTAATTACCTGAACACTTTGGTCGATCAAAATTTCCAAAAAAAGAACTAAACACTTTGGCCAAATCATACCTATTCTTGTCATGAGTCAATCCAGCTATTTCAGTGACGATCTTCAAAGCTTTCTTCCATCTCTTGATCCTGGAATTAATACGCTTAATCTTTTTCTTATTGACTTCTTCAGCAAGCAAAGAGTTTTGCAAAGCCAGAAACTTTTCCCCAAACTTTCCGCTCTGTTTCTTAACGCTTGAAACCTTCACCTTATGAAAGATGGGTATGACTGCTTTGAGCGCCTCCGTCTCAAAGCATTTCTTGATCTCCACAAGCTCGTCCAAACACCAATCTGACTCGGCGTAGTTCTTGGAAAAGATCACAATCACGATCCTTGACTTTCGGATGTGTCCGAAGAGATTCTGGAGTGGTTGTCCAGTGACATTGTCGTCAGTGAACACATTCACATTGCCATCGATCAACTTCTGTTTGAGATGAGTTAAGAATCCGTACCGCTCGTCTTTTCCCCGGAAACTGATGAATACTTGATCCTTATTGTAATGCGTAATCCCCATATCTCAAACACAGTTGTTTGGATCTCTTTTTGCTAGTTAGAGAATACAAAGTTTGAGAGTGATAAAGAAAAGTCAACCAAACAATCAAGGGTCTATACTTACTAAACTTGGTTACTTAAATAGTATATCAATACTTATCCATGAAACTTTGACCCGTCTCACATTACGCGTTTCAGTTTCCTAGGAAACACCAATTATATGATTTTTTTTTCTCTCACAATAAATGGTACACATGCTATCCTTGATCAAACAACCTAACGTGGGAGAGAAGACAAAAGTACCAAATATTTAAAAATGATTTAGGTGAGCATCATAATGTCACTGCCATAATTATGCTGATGGAAATTAGTATATGGGTTCAATGTTATACGTACCAAATATTTAATCAATTAATTTGTTCATAAACTATAGTTTAGCAATCAGTGTAGTCTTTCTTTACAATATGTCGTTTTGTCAACTAATCTTTCTATATCTTAGTCATTTTGAACAAATGATATATATTAACACGGTCCAATAATGGACACTAAAGATCCATGTGTTTAGTATTAGAGGTCACAAAGAAATCCAAAGACTGTCTCAAGAGAATCCCATTAGTCTATGGAAATACTTCTAATTTCTAAGTAAGTAGAGATATATATAGTTTTGTAATGACATCAAAGTTGTTAACTTTGGGAGTTGCCATTTGGAGCAACTCTCTTCATCTTATCATATATAAAATCTAGAATCATTTGATCTTGGTGACAAGCCTAAAGTTTCTTCCTTTCTTTCTTCTTTGCATTTGAATAAAGCTCTTTAGTGAATTACATCATTTCATGTCTTATATTACATAAGCTCTTTTAGAGCATATGTAAATCTGTCTTGCTTTAGATTTGCTTTCATTTAGTAACTAGGATATTACGGCTTTCATCTATTTAGGCCAGTGGTCTCATTTTATTAGGAAATGGAAAATTTAACTCAGATTTCATTTTGATTTTAAAAAAAATCAGATTTATATATAAAATTTTGACAAAAGAAAACATTTCTAAAATTTTTGATGGATTTTGAGAGAATTTCAGAAGATGTAAACTTTTTTATGGACTCATATGGGCCTATGGCCCTATAAAATCTCAAATTCCAAGTCATACACATAAACATAATATCGTTTTCACTTTTCACATAAAATTCGAATAAAGCAAAAGTAGAAACATTTCATTGAGTTAGCACTCATGGCTAAAACATCTAAAAAATCCAGACACTCAGTACAGTCTCCTTTCAAAGTACTAGGACAGATTCCTTTAGACATACTCAGACAAACACATGATTACTCTCATGCATTCGAAGCCGAATTCTTGACAGGATATGAAGCAAGCATCGCAATCCCACATACACCTGATGGATATTCAAAGTTACGAGCCATCTTCGCGTAGCCAGCATCTCCCCACGTCGTGCCCCATGAGTTTCTCACGATCCAATAGTCCTGACCGTTCTCACTACCGTACCCAACGATAACAAGTGCATGGTCAAGATCTGTCCCGCATGGTCCATTATATATACCCTTGATAGTGTAAACATAGACCATACAAGTTTATTAATTGTATATATATTTGGATCCTACAAAAAAATCAATTTTAAAAGTAGGATAAATACCGATCGATAGAGCATAAATTCTTGGGATTTTTTGTCAACGCCGACACTCACGGGCTGGTGAGCAACCGCCTTTTGTAAGGAAATCTCATCATTCGCTGGCACATCCTCGTAGCTATCAATAGTGATGATCTTGTTTGATGTAGACTGCGACAAACGTACCAAGAAACAAAAAATTGAAGCTAGGTCTGTACTTAAAGATATATTGAATTACAGCAGCACTAAAAGGTGAACCTCTTTGCGGTTACAGTAGCCTTGAGAGCCCTGGTATGGATAATCTGTATCGGAATCAAGACCACCGTTATTGATAAGGAACTGGAAAGCTGCGTCCATTGTGCCTGATCCATAACAACCGTTGTTGACTAAGTTGCAGTCGACCAATTCTTGCTCGGACAATGAGACTAACTCTCCTGTCACGATCTTGTTTATTCCCTCTACTGCTGCCACTGTGGAGAACGCCCAGCAGCTGTCTTTCATTTAAATTAATATGCAAAGAAAAAAGATATATTACATTTTTAATCGTGATGTCTTTCCATCTTTAAAATTCTGATTGTTAAAACAAAACAGAAATTTTCAAAAGAAAATAAATTAGTGAACACTATTTGATTGAAAATTGTAAATGCAAGCGAGATTTCTCCTCGTTTATATTTACAATCTTAAAAAGGTTTGATATAAAAAGAATACTAAACTATTAATTAATTTAACAAAAGTAACTAACTTCTAAAGGGAATAACAAACTAATTAAGGTCACCAATTCATATTTCGATATAGGAAAAGACACTAACTTTATCTAAGAAACATATATATATATATATAGAACAAAGGCTAGAATTTGTTGATTAAGCAAATATATATATATATATATATATCGGGTATAGATGTGAAGACTAGTAAAAGTACTCACTGCAAGTGCCTTGGTCTTTAATAGCCGACACTGCACCTTCGTTCCTCCAGTCAACTGACTCGGGAAGCTGATCTCCGTCGAGTGGCACATACCTACGACTGATTCTGAGATTCCTTTGTTTTGGTTTAGGGCTTCCAGGGAAAAGGTCTCGGTACTCTTGAACGGTTAGGTCAGCAAACCGAGTCAAACCAAGCTGGTAGGAGAGATTCTTTGCATTGTGCTGGTCGATGAAACGGAGATTGTCCTTGAAGTTCTGAAACCGCCGTTCCTTCTCTCCGAGAGCATTGGTATAAGTCTTCCCGTGCTTGGACATCCACATTTGGAAGATAAACCCAACCTCCTCGTTGCTCCGGTTGTGACCACCGGATGTGGCGGGTAGGTCAATGGCCGAAGACGGCACTGAAAGAAGGAATATTATAAAAAGAATTAAGAGGATTGTCATGCAAACAGGTCTAACAAAGCCCATTTTGTATATTCTTCTTAGTGATTATGAGATATTGCAAAATGGTCAGAAACAAATGATCAATATATGATGGGTGTTATCGTAACCAATTACGTGTGTTTGGATATATAAGTATTTAATCCTGATTTTAAAATTCTTGACCTACAGCTAATTCGATATCTTGTACCTAGAATCAATTCCATATATTCAAAATCTTGAATCAAAGTTTGGATTTTGTTTTCTATATACTCCATGTAAATAACTGTTGGAATTCGTTTTCAATCTTTCTATATATAAAGCTTAAGAAATTATAAGGGGAAACTTGGAAATGAAGAAATTTATTTGGAGATTTGCCAATCTGTACCTTTATTACCAAATTATCAATGTCTAAAATTACCCTTTTTACTAGATTAGACCAAATTTTAGACAATTTTATCCGGAAAAATAGAGAAAAATTTGGTTTGGTCTATTAAAAGAGTAATGTAGGCATAGTTGATAATTTAGTAATAAAGGTATAGATGGACAAATCTCCAAAAAAAAATCCTTTATTTCCAAGTAAACCTTTATTGATTAGCATTGTCCAGCAATACTTTTATATAATGCTAATCCTATTTTGCCCTTAATTTTATAATTAAAAAAAAAAACTCTAGTAATTCTTGACAATAAAAAATCTTTCATAAAAAGATACCTTATTTTTCAACAATACAAAATTAATGTTAGTGTTTGATAAACCCCATAATTTAGAAAGAGGTTTTAGTGTATGTAGAACCCTCTTAGTGAGAAAAAGGGTTCTATAGGTTTACCGTTTACATAAGAAAAATGATTATCAAACTTTTAGACAATTCTAAATTTTGTAGAACGTAATATAAATAATATATACAATTTCCATAAATATAGATTCAGTTCCAGTTTTTCTTAAATACAATCGTTGGTTAATTATTCTACTCACGCCGAAGATTTTAAAGAAATTATTGAACGCAGGGTTAATTTGTTTTTTTTCTTGGGTTAAATTAATAGCTTAGTCCAAAAACGCAAGTATTAGTACCTTAGATTTTAAGGAAATTTGGGAAGGGGGATATTTATATTTCAATATTTCATGTACCAAATAAGCAAAGGCATGTCAATGCATCTAAAGACCTTAGGTAAACTTAAATTTTTGTGCGAAAAAAAAAAAAAAACTTGAAAATAGTGCCCTTAGCGGATATGTGCTTCCGAATATGACTCGGATTGGTTTACATCTTAGCGGATATGAACAAAAAAATTAGTGTCATATCAATTAAGTTAAGTTACGAGTCGAGGCTTCGAAATTTTTTATACTGATTAAAGAATAGAAAAACATGCAGCCAAAAAAAAGCACCTAGCTCTTAGAGCATGTATATGGGTGATATTCATATAGTATTATTAAGAATTTTTTAGTATTATTTATAATGTTTGTTTATTGTTTGAGATTTTTTATGATACTCCTACTAAATATGTTTGCATTGGTGAGATCAATTTCAGTATCATAAAAAAAAAATTGCAAAATTGCAAAATTAATATATTAAAACATAAGATTACAAAAGGTAATATTACAATAAAAAAAACGTAGAATATACTTAAACAAAATAAAACATAAAATTCAAAAAACATATAAACATGATGATAAAAAAATTTAGTCGCTTGTAGTCAATTACCTTGGCCCCATTTTTGCCAAATATGTTCAATCAAATCTTCTTTCAATTGTCGATGTGTTTGTTCATGACGTATTTGAGAAGAATTGTAATGAAAAATATGAGAAGAGGAAGAATCGTTTCGAATGGATTTCAATATGAAAAGACAAAGACATATATATATATATATATATATATATATATATATATATATATATATAAGAGAATTGTACAAATAATACATTGTCGACAATACATTGTGCTACTAAAACAAAACAAGTGGTTTCTGACCAATACATTGCACCAATAAGACAAAGACCATAGAAAGTAAAAACAAGTGGCTTCTCACCACAAAAACATTGCCGACCATATGCCATGTGCTCATCTTCACTTTCCTGCAAATATCAAGTGTTCAGTTTCAGTTTCAACACAAAGAACTCTATATTGCTTTGTTTGAATAAAAAAAGATGATATACTAAAGATTTGAAATCCAAAAGAAGCTTATGGAATCAATAACTTTATTTGCCATAGTACATATGCAAACCTGATACCAGAGTCAATTCAATTTTATAACCACTTTCATTGTTTATTGTCATATTGTGAGTAATCTGGTGCTCATTGGGTGGTCTCAACACTACAAGAATCTCATGTGAAAGACATGTACTACGGAAAGAGTGTAAAAAGCACTGAGATTAAATTATGGACTTGCCTCCTTAAGAATTATTAGTGAAGCACATTCCGGGAAACTACTAGCCACACTGAGCCATGCACAAGAATGATGAGGACGTCCTTCTGGTCCAAACATTGTATTTCTGAAAACCTTTGATAAAAATCAAATGTCAGATTATGCATAAGATGACATGGGAAAATAGAGTACAGTGAACAACAACAGGAAGTATATAGTTGTGAGGTGTTGATGATAGAAATATAACAAGAAGTATACAAATTATGCATAAGATGACAAGAAACAATATGCACTTATATATTCGGTCATGAGCAAAAATAATAGACACATATATTACCTGCTCACGAACATCATCACTCTGAGAAGCCAACAGTTAACAAAAATCGGAACAGCACCATGTTCAATGACCACCTTTGTATTCTCTTAAGTCCCAGAAGCAAGGTTTGTCAATGCCCAAGCAGCCTCAAACTGAACCCACACACAAAGTATTTGAAGTATCAGACGATAATTCTAGCAAATGAAAGTTATATAACAGATACATAAAGGATCCACCAAACCTGAAGCTGTGGATAATCCACAAACCGAGGCACAACACCAGCTTGAATCACCTCTTCAATCGGAGGACTACGCTCTGCCAGAGTTCAAAAACCACAGATTCATTTCAAGAAATTCCCAAATCGAAAGCAAACTTAAAAACCTAAATAAAAATCGATCTAATTAGCTCCAAATCAAAGAACAAAACACAAACCCTACACTTGTGAAATCAAATTTCCAGAAACCCTAATCACAAACCAAGAGAAGGAAACGAAATCTACACAAACTCTATACCTAGATTTACACAGAAGGAAACGAAATCAGAAATCGGCAAATCGCCGTGAGAGAGGAGAGAAAAAATTGAGTCTTTGGGTAAATGATTTTTTTTTTTCTCTGCTGTCGGCAAAAGATTTTTTCGCGACCAATCACGACCCGACACGTCACATGATACCCAGTATCATGAGTTTCACTGGGCTAATACGAATCAGACCCATAAAACATGTTTGGTCCATTTAAAAATAATAAATAGGTTTCTAATACTCTTAAAAATTCTCCTATGTACATAGTCTTATCAATCTGTCGTTGCTTCAGTGTATTTGTCTTTGACTTTGACTACATATGTAGTGTTATAGTAATTAATGTAATGAAATTCCTCTTACATTCTAAAATAACGCGTTTAAATTTTCTTTTCGTGGTTGCCATGTGATGGAAAACAAAATTAGCAACAATCATAATAATAAATCATAATTGTCGCTTCTGATTGTCAAAATGCTTTTGTAACAATGATACGATCGATCTTATTGATTAGTGAATTATTCATTTTTTTATGTATATTAGACTGAAGGTATGATATTGATTATGCGCGTTATTTGTGGAACTATAAGAATATAGTTTAAGGTTTGATAACTAATTAATTTCCTTAAGTAAAAGCTAATGATCACTTTATTGCCACGGCATTCTCATCATTGCTCTCTCTCGTGTTAAATCACTACAAAAAAAAGGATGGATTACATCAATTAAATAGTATCAGAAATATAAATGATACTAGTTTAAATTACTTATAAGCAAATGACACAAAATAATTAATTTAACATCAATTTTAATAAGTGATGTGTTAATTAACTTGTTTAGCATCAGTTCAATCAAAGTGATACAAATTTGTATTAGTTTGCATCACTTTAAAAAATTGATACAAAGATATGTATTTGCATCAATTAACAACCGATGTAGTCACTTAATTTTATTAACATCACTTTTAAAAATGATACAAAATTTATATCAATAAAAAGTGAAGCTAATAAATTTTTAAGTAATTTAATTATTAAAAAAATAACTGGAAAATTTTGTTATAGATGACGTTAAATTGTTATTACCATAAATAAATAATTATATTGGTTTTATCATAATATTAGTACCTATTAATCCTCAAAATAAGCAAATTTATTTATTTTTATTCCTTACCCACAATCCTTCTTTTACGCTCACGATCTTTTTTTCCTATTTTATTTCCAAAAAAATGTTTTTAGAATATCTTCAAGTTAGTTTTCGAAATCTCATAACTCGATCTCATTCAATTCTCCACCTTTAAATACTTTCTTATTTTCTGTCATTCTACCTCTCTTTTTTTCTTGACCATCACTCAGTTTTTTTGTTCTTCTATTTTCAGAAATTTGTCATGAACACTGCACTAATGATCATTAGGACTCTGTGTTTTCCTACTCAATTTGGAGAAACATAAACTAAAGGTACTCCATCACTTAATGTTAAATACACTTACAAATAATTATTCTAATTCCGATCAAAAATTTCTATAAATTTCTAAACAATTAATCTCTTTTTTATTTTGTAGAGCAAAAACTTAAGTGTGATGATGATTCAAGAGATCTCAAGTCATAACCAAAGTATGATCTTGATTCCACAAATGGAAGAGAGATGGCATAGAAGAAGAATTGAAGTTTCCAAGAAGAAAGAACAATTAATGGAAGGAACAAGTATGGAACCAAAGGAAGATGTGTTTAAACGTACATGAAGTTTAGTTCAAAAAAAAAAAAAAAAAACGTACATGAAGAAACCAAAACTCAATTATAATTTTTTTTTTCTGTTAAAAGATTTATTGTTCATGTGAAGTATTTTATCAAAGATTGCAATGAGAGATTTTGGGAGAGAATATTCACCATGATTTGGTATATATTAAAAAAAAAAGTAACAAATCAAATAATAATTCGAAAATATATTAAAAAATTAATTATTTTATTAATCTAATAATTATTATTCTGTAATATATTGAAATCAGTTAAATAAATTGATGTAAAAGTTAACATCATTTTTTAGCAATTGATATATATTGACATCAATTACAATAATCGATGTAAGTATTTTGAATATTAACATCAGTTGTTAATAAAATGATGCAAATTATTTGCATCAATAATATATAAATCATTTAGTTAAGTGATATAAAATTCTTTTACATCAATTATAAATAATACAAAAATTCAAAATAAATGATGCTAAATGATCTTTTTTTTGTAGTGAATATATAAAAAGTGATGCAAAAAGGGTTTTCTGAAATAACAAACTACAATATAAATAGTAGTACAAAATTGGACCGACAATGTTATAAAACTATTTGATGTTCTTTTATAACCGTCATTAACGGTAAATTCAACCGACCATAATTAGTGACTTTAAAATGATTGTAAAGACCAAGGTCTTGATACCCGTAATTACCGCAGCCATTTATCTGACCGCACTCATTTTCGCAATATTATTGTATGATCTCGTAAATTCAGTGGAGTCATACTCATATCGTTTGCGTTGAATTTTAGATTTTGAAAGAAAAAAGTACGTTCAGGTTTGAAAACATATATTATGCAAATTGTATAATATTATCCGCCTGCATCAGCATCTCTAATTCTTTTCTTTGTCTGTTTACATTTTAAAATTTGAGATTTTGTCTTTTTACTTTTATAATTATCCAGACAGTTTGATATTCAGACTAAAGTACTTTACTAAAGTCCGATTTTTTAAGTAATTGATGTTACTGAACTATCAAGATCTCTAACCAAAGAAAAAAAAAACTATCAACATCCTTGAATTTTCATTAATAAATCTGTATAAACGGAGTATAACATTTTTTCATAACTGTAACATTTTTCTAGATCATGTGTTACTTGATATATGCATTAGTACCTGTAAGTGATGAAATTGGTAAAATATTTTGTTCAGATTTTTTATTTCTCAAATATTATTTCGTCAATGGTAAGGAAAAATGAAATATCTGATATAATTTAAAATATTAAGTGATAATTTTTAAAAAACTTTCAAAACAAAAGTAAACAAATTATACAAATACAAATGACTACAATAACTAAAAAGTAGATCATGTCACTTAGTCAAAGTATCCTTCCGTTTCACACCAAGAAAAAAAAGTATCCTTCCGTTTGTTCTCAACCTGATCGACAGTTTCTGTGTTGAGGTTTAAGAGCGTACTAAGAACCGACGACGATCCGTATCGGTTGTTTCTCTATAGATAGCGTGACATGCATTCAAATATGTCACATTAGAAAAGACATATACATGGTCTATGCACTTATAGTACATTCCAAGTAATAGGTGACCGACAGAAATGCAAAGCTAGTTCATTACCGAAAAAAAGAAATATAAAGCTGTTTTGTATATACAATTTACCTTGTGATAGAGTGTAAATTTCGAATAAATATGCATTATTTTTTAGTAGTTCTCATGTTTTAATTAGGAATAACTTTTAGAATTTTTGGCTTTTGGTAATTTTTATAGTCTGCTTAAACTTATAGAGTTTTTGTTTTAAAAAAATGGTTTTCAAAGTTGAATTTAATGACCAAAAAAAAAAAATCTGAAAAGGGTTTTATCTGTTTCTTTGGTTTAGGTAAGTAGATCTGACGAAATTTCAATGACAAATTTTTTTGCTTTTTTTTTTTTATAAAATTATCCGAATAAATTTGTGATGTATCCTATTTATCATACACGTTTCCTCTACGTCACCAAACCATATGAGCTCTAGCTGGGTCTGAGTACTTTTTATTAAAAAACGATGATTAAGTCATCATTCTTTACATATTCAATCAGGTTTAGTCTGGCGCTTGAACGTCTTTTCATAATAGTGACCATACACTAACTCTATCCATTAAGAACCAATTAAATATATATATTCATTTGTAACCTAAGTTGGTAAAATTCTTCGACTAGTTTCATTAAAAAAAAAAATTCTTCGACTAGTTTCCATGGTTTTGTTACCGTTTGACATATCACGAACCAATGAGTCTAGTTACAGTTGATTCCACATTGAAGAATCTTTGAAATTCACTACAACAGTATTCTTGAGATTAACCAATTTTTCTTTCCTACTTTTGTCAAGGTCACATGGCTAACTTTGCCAGATGCGAAAGCGAAAATCATGTCCACGAGATCTTTTTGGTGAAACATAAATTACCAATTAAATTCAATCCAAATAAAAATATGTTGTAATGAATATTGAATAATGATATATCTACCGCTTAAGTGACAAAAAAAAAAGAAAAAATTAATGAAGAGAAACGTTTGAATATCAGAATTTTTTTTTTTTTTTGTAAACCTCCAGAATATTTCTTTCTTTGTATATTTTTCTCCTTAACATGCTTTTTCATTTTTAATACCAACCTAATATGTTTTTTCTTCATTGATATCTTTCAAAAACATAATGAAAAATATAATATTGGATCGGATTGGTAACACAATGCTATACAATTTTTTTAGTTATAAACTGGAACCGTAAATTTTGACGGAATAGTGTAAAACTGTACAAAACAATAGTACATAAAAGTTGTACAAAAACCTGAAAAATGATTTTGATATTGCTTTTGTAACTTGATAATTGTCAAAACAATACACTCTATATTACAGTTCTATAGGAGTTACCATTTAAACCTATTATTTTATTGTAAAACTATTTTGCATATTTTTATTTTGCTTTTTATGAACTAACAAAATTAGTTTTCAGAAATAACTCCTAAATAGAAAAAGGTTTTTTTTTTCTGCCTTAAATATGACTTACTAGTGTTTGATCCGTGCTCTGCACGGGCGAAAATAGCATTAGTTTTTCTATTGAAGATATATTGCAAGGTAAAAGAGAACTAATTTCATAGTCGGGATGAGAAACCTAGTTATTGTGTAAATTAGAAGGAAACAAAATCTTTAAAATTTCAAAAAAAAATTTATTTCGAGAAAAGTTGCAGGAAAACAGAATAAAAAAAAAAAAGATGTGGAAGTTTTTTTTTTTTTGTAGGGGAAGCAAGAGATCGTGGGTGGTGGTGGGAGGGGTGATGGGGAAAAGTCAATTTTGATTTTAATCGTAAATTAATGTAAAAAAAGAAAAAAGTGAAAGTACA